TTCATTAGTTAACATAAACTGCCAATGAAAAATTCTTCTGAACATTCATTAATCTTAGGTATTCCAATATTTAATAACACGTTGTTAAAATCGAAAGTTGCAACTGTGTTATTTAATGAGCTAACATGAACTAAGACTTAATAACTAATAATTAATCACTTCTGTAGCAAATGTAGCTATTGCTCATTGTGAATGTTAATGCATTAACTAAGGTTAACTAATGAGGTCTTATTGTAAAGGGATACCTATTGGTCTTTATAGTTCTTTTGCACTTTAATCTGTGTAAAACTTTTAGCTTTATACATTTTTCTGTATTGCTTTATTGCATTTAAATGTTCAGTTATTTTTGTTATAAGAAAAAAGTTATTAAACCTGTTATACTGTATTATGACAGCACTTTTTTAAAACTAAATTTCAACATCGTGATAATACCGTATACCGCGATAAAAGCATTAGCAATTAATCGCAACATGAAAATTTGATACCGGCATATCCCTAGTGTGACTGTATTAATGAGAGTAGCAGCTACGGTGATTGGTGTTACAGTGTCTGTCATGTGAGGAGGACGGTTCACTGCTTCATCCATCACAGTCTAATCTTTGTGCACAGGGCTCCAGTGTCTCGTCTAATGGAGCGTGCATGCTAACTGCACAGCTCTTCTGGATGCAGGAAGTGATACAGCATGACCGGCAAAGACACTTACACAAAAACTGGGCCAAATTAGTCATTTAGTCTTCAGTGTCACTTCATCTTTCAGAAATCATTCTAATGTGATGATTTGCTGCTCAAGAAACATTTCTTATAATTAGCAATTTTAAAAAACAGTAGTGCTGCAAATGTTTTTGTGTAAACAAATGATGCATTTTTTTTTCAGGATTCGTGCTGAATAGAAAGTTCAAAAGAACAGCATTCATTTGAAATAGAAATTCTCTAGAATTCTTTTGTAAGATTAGAAATGTCACTACTGTCACTGTAGATCAATTTAATGTGTCCTTGCTGAATAAAAGTATTAAAAAAGTTTCACTGACTACAGACTTCGTAGTTTCACTTTTGCCTCTTTGTTTCTGTTGGCCGCAGGAACTTTTCTAGCAGCTTGTTTTAATATTTTCAGTCCTGCAGCTGGTGTTCTGATGTTGCCATTTATTTAGTACAGATTTAGTACAGTTAGCGATGAGAGTTTATTGTAATTGAGAATACATGGACCTGGAGACTTAGAGAAATGCCTCATTATATTTGGGGGCTGAGAGGATTATCAGATTACATGTATGAAAAACAAAGCATACAATTTTGAATATGAAAGGCAGTTTTTGTCCCCAAGGAGTATATGCTAGTCTAGGGGTTTTTGGGCCAATAAACATTATTTGCAATGATTAAAACTTCTAAGCATAAATTAACTATGCCTCCATGCCATTCTTTTAAAAATATTATTTGCTAGTTATTATTTTATTATTATTTATTATCATAATTTTTTAATTTTTATTTTCCTGTCACAAAATATAAATGATTGTTCAGACTTGTGGGTACATTTTGAGGATCTAATGGTTGGCAGTGGTTGAAAATTCAAATGGAGATGCAACAAACTCCTCTAAGATAAATAATCAACAATAAATACCTCATGCATACAGTGTAGTTCCTTATGCTGAGAAGTTGTGCATCCTAATTCTCAGACGATGACATAACTTGCATCACACATTGCCTGAATGGCCCACTGTGTCCCGTCTGAGGCTGAGAGTAGGTAACGGGAAGAACCGCTTTGCGTGGTCAGTGGGTTAAGAGACACAGTGGTGCACCACCAGTTTATGAACTTCTGTTGTCAGTGGTGCTGTTAATACTAGTAGTTTCCTAAATGAGCGATAATATCAAGATTTTTTTTTCTTTTTGTCATTGCTGTCTTTGGAGTGATATTCCAGTGCGCTGGGCTGTAAAACTGTCAATCGATGCTGGGCCACTTTGAGGGATCTTCTCATTAAAAGCAGATGATGATCTTTCCATGCAGCTCCAAGCGTGCGGTTCCGTCTAACGGCTGAGGCACAGGCCTGCTGTGTGTTTAGACTTTAGAGCACTTATGAGTGATTAATGTCTTTTGTAACTACATGAGACTCAGCGTATGTCCTCATATGGTGAGGCGTTTAGGCTGGCTTAGCCGTGTCTTGGGGGCTCGCCAGGTCTCTAGCGGTGCCTCGTAAAGCAGGAGGGACGACAGTTTGACAACATGAAATTTGATGCACACTGTTTAGGTTACATTGTTCCTTTAATCTCTTCACTGCTGGATTTGATGAAGTCACTCCGATTGTGCTCAGATTGTGGTGACATTTAGATCAAAATCCATAATTTCAGTAGCACATTTATACATACTCTTATAATGCTACTTTTGAGACGATCATGTTATTATGTCAGTACCATAGCAGTTTTCTTGCCACTTTTATTTTATTTTATTTTAAATTAATTTGCATAAACACATTTACATATATTAAGCAATACATAATACATTTACATGATTAAATAAATTAATTAAAAATTAAATAAATACATTTACATAAATGCATTTCATTTTTTCTCATTTCCATTCCTGATAAGTTAATCTTTTGAAAACACTAATTTAATAACTCTGTTAAATCTTTATACAATCTCAAAATTAATATCCATTTTTATACTATACATTATTATTCTGTACTGAATTCACTTATAGTGTTTAAAACAACTTTGGCCATAATTTTAAATTAGAATGATTATATTATAATTATCAGCTTATCTGTATCCACCAGCATTTTAATATTGGTGCATCAAGTCAAGGATTACTTAGGATGGCTGTGCTAGCATCTTTCTCCATTGGCCATTTCAAAGTATAGATCATAACTAATGATCATAACTAATTCTCTCTGTCTCTCTTTACAGTGAAGCCGTTCACAACCACCGTGAAGGAGATGCGGCTTCACAGAGATGACTTCGAGATGCTCAAAGTGATTGGCAGGGGAGCCTTTGGAGAGGTAAGGAACTCTGCGAACCCTCGCTGCCTTTTTGGCATGCTTAAAAGTGCAGGGAAATCACCTCTGAATCACTGCAGCTTTTGCCATATTGTGTGGTTTGTTTTCGGTATTTCGAAGCTTTATTTTCATGACTCATTTTGTGTGTCCAATGAAAACCTCAAACTATCAGCGAAGTATTCATGTCCCCCTTAAGCATCTCAACAGCAGCCACAAACCAAACCCCTTCCTCTCATCCGAGTTTCCCTGCTCTCCCCCCTGCCAGTTCCCCGGGGATCTCGGCCTGGCGTTGGACTGCTATTCTTGGCACAAATCTAAGCATTTTAGACGGCTCGTTTGTTTTACAGGGGAATGTACTACTTGTTCCTGCAGTACAACACTTGGACTATTCACTACACACACAGTGCACTTTTCTTTTTCTTTACCAATCTGTCTTCTATCACTGCTACATTTTCCTTTTTTTTGCTTTTTCATCTTCCTCCTTTTCACCACAATGGAATTAGATTGCTCTTTGTTTTATATTTCTCTGTTGTTTGCCACAACGGGGGCAGTCGTGGCCTAATGGTTAGAGAGTCGGACTTGTAATCCAAAGTTTGCGGGTTCGAGTTTTGGTACCGGCAGGGATTGTATGTGAGGGGAGTGAATGTACAGCGCTCTCTTCCACCTTCAATACCATACTTTTGCAATGCTTCATGGAATTGTAGTTCTTTCGGTCATTAAAGCCATTTTACCTTTGTCTTTTCAAATACTTTTACTTTTAAAATTCCTTTGTAATGTTGCGATTTATCTCGTAGCTGGTTAGTTTGGTTCATGGCTTATAACTGCCTAATTACTTCTAAAAATCCCTATTGAAAAATTAAAGGGAAAAATACTTCAGAACCAAGGCTGCTAAAGAAGTGGACTGTTGCTCTTTTGCACTCTACAGTCTCCATCTGACTGTCCAATTATATATAACACCATGTGTGATCAAATAAAATGTGTATTGCATCAAACACACAACGCTTATGCTTGTCTGATTAATGTGTGTACTTGCTAAACGAAACCAAGCTACAATCACATTATATAGGTCTGTAAGTCCAACTTAACAAAAAAACAGACAAGTAAGATTTTAGCTTTACAATGACATAAAAAAAAAAAAAAGAATTATTGATTTAGCCTGAAACTAACTTCACAGAAATTCACAGTGAAGATGAATTATGATATGGCACATTATCAGATATTTCTTAGGAGAGAAATATTTTGCTGTGTCACACATTTTTGCTGTGTCGTTACACCTCCCTCTTAAATGAATGTTGTGTCTTTGACTCATTTCCTTGGGAAAATGCATCCAATTTTATACTTCAGCTATTTCTTTAGATGAACAGAAGTTAATTCTGCTGTAACAAAAGAATATAGGATGATTCAGAAGCTGATTAAGACTTTATTTTGGGGGGAGATTTGCTTGATCTGTGGTTAAGTTCCAGTGTTTATCGATTGGTTTTGATTTGATTCCACTTAGTGTTTACTGTCTCTTAGTTGATGACAAAAACAGGGAAGAGGACGTACATGTGAGCAGATGAAGTGATCGTCTAAATGCTCTTTACAACCAAGTTCACCTCCTTACCGTAGATTCCTGTCAGGAATGTCAGTTGTGGCACAGGAAGCAGGGCAGGACGGTGCAGCTTCCAGGAAAGGCTCAGGAAACCAGAACCATCTCTAAGGAGTGACTTCCATAAAAATAGCGTTTCACTCCGCATGTAATTTGTGCTGTTCATTGTCCCCCCTTCAGCCACCGAGACCTCAATAACCCTTCCTTCTCAGTCCCTGGGCTTTTTTTTTTTTTTGAGCATCATGTGGGTCTAATGATGATTCAGATCTTTGGGGGGTTTTGCAGTCTTTCTGTTATCATCAAGCCAGGCTGCTGTTAGTGTGTGCTGCAGCTTGTGTCGGTTTCAGAGCACTCAGACTCATGTGTGAACGTAGTGCTGCTGTTTTGTTCCCTCTCCCAGCCGTTTCCTGTGGCTCTAACGTTACAGGATGTTCTTCCAGATAAATCTCTTGCATTTACTGTTTATGATTGATGGTGTGGTGCCAGCTGAAGGCCTGGAATTTGGGACTACTTAAAGGTATAGTTCACTCAAAAATGCAAATTAGCACTTTTTTTTCAATCTAATGTCACTGCGAGCTTGACATTCTTTCTTCTGGCAAGTACCAAAGCAGATGTTTAAAGGGGTCCTATTATGCTCTTTCACAATGTCTTGAATTTGTTTTGGGGGTGTACTAGAACATGCTCTCATGCTTGGTGGTTAAAAAAACGCATTATTTTTTACATTTTACATTATCACAATACCTTTCTCCCCAGTCTGGCACAAACGGCTCGATTAGTTCCGGGTTTGATGAACGCCCGCCTTCCGAAAAACTAAATGGGATGTGATTGGTTAGCTGTCCCAGTGCGTTGTGATTGGCGAACAGCTTAGACGGTGTTTCAGTACTGCCCCGCCCCTTGCCAAAGCAGCAAGTTTAGTTAAGGATGGTGTCAATATTGCCATAGCAGTTTGAGCCGGATTCAGACCCAGAGAATATTGAACTAGAGGATCGCACAACCTTTGCATGCACGGATATTGCTAGACATATTAGAGTGGTAACCTTATTGTTGTTGTTGTTGTTTTTTTTGGGTTAAATCACGTTTTAGATAGGATGTCAACAACCGCTTAAAAATAACTGCATTTACCATGTACAGATAAGTGCTGTTGTACTGTAAGGAATTTAACTCATTAATTCTATAAGGGAATTAATCATTAACTTTATTTCTAGCTCAGGTTTTGAAAGGACTCGAATCTGAAAATTCGACGTCCACCTGATTAGAACTGATTTCAAATTTCAATAGTTTACACCTTATCAACGGTCGTCCAGCGAGCCGTTAATGTCCGTGTATCTTATTCTGACTGTGTATTTTCCTTGGCCACGGGATAATACGTTCTTTGATAAGTAAGCTACAAGCTAGGTAATGTAATCTTGGCAATGTTTGACTTTAAAGTTATAAGACACCAGACAATGATTCTTTATAAATGAAAACGAATTTATTGGATATTCTAGATTACATTAAAACTAAGCTAAAACACACATACACACACACACATATACAGCTCAGAAGTCTAACATTATAACATGAATTGCAGTGAAACTGTTATACAGTTGAATTTATTTATACCAAAGTTCAGTGTTTCCCAAGCGGCATATATATATTTGCAAACTCATTCTCTGGCAGCAGGAGGCGCTGTTGGAGTGGTAGAGATCAAGGTTTCCCCGGTAACGGCTGTACACAAAGCAGTGCTCCGCTCAAAAAAACACTGCTTTATCAGACATTACATGCAAGGGACATTACAATCATCCAATTTTCTGAAGACAGTCGGTTTCCTTCAGAAATAAAGTGATATAAAAACACCTGCACTCAATGTATGGGAAACACTGTAGTCTCATAATTGAAGTGTAACTTCTGCAGATTACATCATTGTCCAGTATTGTACTGTCAGCAATTTATTATAAAAACGTTTTCATAATTGTAACATAAAAAACACCCGCACTCAATGTATGGGAAGCACTGTAGTCTCATAATTGAAGTGTAAATTCTGCAGATTACATCATTGTCCAGTATTGTACTGTCAGCGATTTATTATAAAAAACGTTTTCATAATTGTAACATACATATTTACACACATAATTATTCAGGTGCATGTGTAATAACTTGCGAAAACTTGAGGCTACAGCAGCACTTTGTCGTAGTCT